ACATTGACCACTCGACCCACGCCACCGGGTGTCGGCTTAAATCAACTAATCGGAGACTTTGCAAGCAAATAACGCTACAGTTCCGGCTAATTAGCAGGCTGTAGATACCACCAATCGAGGCGTTATATGATGTCCGCACCATTATACAATCGCGTAAATCCATAGTTGCTCGGCTCGCACTTCTTAAAATAGTGACTATTAAAACCCGTGAAATCTAGTGCAGGTACTTAAAGAAATGAAAATGCTTATGAAAGCCAAAAGCAAGTTTGCAGTTCCTCCTTTATAACATCATATACATTGACGAGAGCTACTTGCCTTATGAACTGCATTGCCTACAAAGTTGTCAGGTGTTTTGTCATAATTTTTGTGGTATAGTCATACATCCTAGTCGGTTGTCCCAGCAATCATGGGCTTTGTTGTAATCAGCTTATACGATATTTAAGATGAAAGTCAAAAACGTTGAGCCTCCCACGTACTTGCATACTTTCTCCAACTGCTTTGAGTGGCTGGCAGTTTAATATGATATACAGTAGTAAGATGCTTCTATATAAGTTTGATGGGTGTATATAGTGCTTCTTTCTTGATTGAGGTAGCTCTCGCAATGTGATCAGTAGTTACCTTGAGATGATTTCCTTAGTTTCGTGAAGGCTTTGTAGCTTTTTCTTGTCTAATTCAGCAACATGCATAATCTTCAGCAGCGAAGACTTAATAAATCCAGACGTACGTCAGCTGGAGAGCCAAGCGTATTGGATCAATATCTCGAGATTAGGACAGACAGAATTAATAATGGCCACGTGATATTACGATAATAAGACACTCGCAACTTGTATACTATATGAATTCATCATCTGTTTTTCTGTAATAAAGGCATATGTAGTGATTTGGATATGCTTAAATTCTTCTCAAGTTTTTCCAAAGCTTTTTACTTTCAATAAGAAGATGTAGAGTCGTGGTCGAAGGCCTGATCTGATCAGCCTTGCCAATGACAATTGTGTTTCCTTCAAAACAAGCAGTAACTTTTCAATTCGCTCACTCGTCGTCAACGAAACTGATGACTTATCAACATTCGTTCTCGTCGTGGCTGATCTGCATTGTAGTCGTATCAAGCTGCACTTTACTCAACTATGTCGACACTTCCTCAACAGATTTACTGCCTGGCATCGAAAATGCCAACAAGACTGCAGCTCCGACTGGCTCTACTCAGGCCTATCAGCAGTTAGGTATGCACGCTGATACGTTGGTAGATAGCGACAATGGCATTGCTGAGGAGAGATTTGAATCCCCACAGTGGATCAAGAACATTTGGGAGAAAATCATGAGTCTGGGCATCGTGAAGAGATTTTATCCGCATCTCTACATCAGATTTGCGTCTGATAAGGAAGGCGCTGCACTACGACTTATCAAGAGATACGAGACGAAATTCCCGGGACCGTTTCTTGAGAGTCTGTGGTTTATTAGATGGACACGTGCGGTGCTTAAAGCATACAAACATGAGCCTTCTCTTGGGTACGACTTGATTTTTCGCTGTTTGTTGCGTCTCTACCACATCCACATCATTCAGCTCGGCAAAGATTTTGCCAAAATCGAATTGAGCGCCGTTACATCAGAGATGATCTATGAGATCGGTGTGAGGCTTCTACATCATTACAAGTCGATGAGAATGCCAACTGAACACCTTTTTGAAGAGTTGGGCTTACAAGAAAATCACATCAGACTTGACGACCCAAACGTCGTATTGTGGAATTTTTATGTGGGTTATCTTTATTCTGAACAATTCTCGTATGAAGCATTACTGTCTAAGATGAAGTATCAGGTTGATATTGAGAATCAGTGTAAAATCGCGTGTGCACGAGGCGGTTATTTCTCCGTGCTCGGGTGGGGTTTGCGACTACATTGGTGGAAACAAAAGAAGTATAACAAAACTACTGTGTGGTATCTTTTGAGGCTGGATGAAATGGACAAGATTGGATACATAAATTGGATAGCTAATGCAAAGGTTTGGGTTGCATATGCATGGA